CGGAAAATACGGGAGGTGAAATTGGATAATTTCCACGGCACACCTGATGATCACTCATGGTGCACTAGTGTGCCGCAGCACAGTGGTTGAAAAACACTGGTTTAAAGACTATTTAATCAGTTCAAATTTACTTCAATGCACGTATTGCCCCATAATCAAACTTTTAGTAGAAAAATGAAAAACTTTGCAGTTTTATCTTATTATAAGTATTAGATTTATTACACACAGTAAGGAACACATGGGAATATAGTAACTCCTTGAATTTTTGAGAACAATTATCTTGTTTCACAAAGTTTCTGTATTCCTGGAGAGATGGATGACAAACAGACTCAAAGATGTTTCATTTGTAAACAAGTCCTGTACCTTTTTCTTGCTTGTCAAAGTTGAAAATACCAATGGTCAGTGGTTAGAAAGCTGCCATGTGGTGTGAATGAAAAAGTAACACAAATTTCAAATGCAGAAACTTATATAATAGAAGCAATGAGTTGCATCGTTTCAAGTAAACCGCAAAACAGCGCCTCCTAGGGGCCTGTTTGATTAACCTCTTGCATTTCCACTTGTTTTTTAAGCCTTAATCCACGTACATCTTTACCACAACTGATGTGCTTTAACATCCTTATTATGCATTCTGAGCGAGGTTCAGGCCCCAAAAAGACAAATAATTTACTACCAGAAGAATAAACATTTGATTTTCAACAGGCTTACGCTTAATCTTTGGTATTCAAGTCTACTGTAAACTGTGAATAATAGAGTTAAAATAATATACATTCTTTTCAAAATGTATTAAATTTTAAACAAAAGCTAATAACACAGAAATGTTTCTGTTGTGCTTCTAAATGAATTATCAGGAGTAATTAAATGTAAATGAATCTCCAAGTCTGTCTTCATTAACAAGTTAAAAAGTCTATTATTCTATTATTCTATGTCCTTTCATTACGTGTCTGGTTGCTGTTTGTTGAGTTTTATCTTCAGGGAATGTTGTTGGTCTCTTCTGCCAAACATTTCCTTTCATGATGAGTTTGTCAGAAACCATGTGATCAGTGTTTTCTCCTCCTCTGGCTGTATAAAAACACGGCACACTGACTCATTTTAGATCTGCCTTCTCCAGGAGCCACTGGGTCATTTACACACAGGTAGGCTGAACTCACATTTTAATTAGGATTAGTTTAGCTATGTGCCATAAGAAACAACAGAAGATTCACAGCAAGGTTCAGAAAAGTTAGGAAAGTTTGAGGCTACTATTTGGCTTTTTTAATCATTATTTGCCATTTAAAAATTTCAAATGAGAGTTTAATAATAAAAGAACTCCTGTATTTACTAATAAACACACATTTGTATCAAAATGTTATTTTATTAATGTCTGTAAATAAATGTCTCTAATATATTGCAATTACAGTAGAAATGAATGAGGACAGCAGCTTTTGATTTTTCTTGTTAGACACCAAGTCGTGTTTCCACATCACTGTTGTGAAGATCTTTGAACAACTTCCTCACAATGGAAAAGTCGTGAGTAAAACTTAAATCCTCTTAACATCTGAAACCAAATCAAAGTGATGTCATGTAAAATCACAAGTAGATATTTTAACATGTCTATTTGCTGTGGAACATTAACTTTAGTGATTTTGTGACAGAAGCTCTTCTTCAAAGCACAGACCCTTCAGATAAACATCTCTCAGCTGATGTTAAAAATTGTTCACAGAATATTTTAACCAAAGATAACAAAAAGCACAAAGATGAAAACATGAATAAATAAACCTTGTGAACAGTTTTCACATGACCCAAATAATTGGCTACTAAATTAAGACAGACCATCTCCTATTGCACTCAGCGGCTCTGCGTCTCAGTTTAGCTGTAATCAAGGTGTTCACTTTGATGATCTCATAATAATAAAATGCAGGACGTTCATGAGCACCTGTGAAAAACTGCAGCCCTGAGTCAAGCTGCAGATGTAAACAGCTCCCCTTCTATCCTCTCCAGGCTCATGTCGGTTGTTTTGTGTGTAATTGCACGTTGTCACCACAAGATGGCACAAACAAAACCTGCGCTCTTGAATTTTTCCACAAATTAAAACTTGTTGAAGTCACAAAGTATCACATAAAACAAATGCTTATTTTGTTAAAATTCAAA